CGTTTGACACTCAAGAACAGCAACTGCCGTCGGCAAAACTGCAGCCATTGCTGCAGGTCCCCCGCAATGTTGAATGATGTGAGCGGCAGACAATCGCTGGAACGAGCCAAATTAATTTGGAGGGTGAAGAGGCTTTCATTCTAAAGGAATGTGCTATGCGCATCTTAGGCTTGTTTGTGATTCAGGCCCTTTACTCAATTGATCGTGTGTTTGTCCAGGCAATGATTCAATGATTCAAACGCAGCAGCTGCTATTTGGGGTGTGGCCCAATTACAAGTCCGTCTATGAGCATATGTATGCTTTTAGCTCTTTTTGACAAATAGCAACTAATCAAAAAGTATTTCGGCATTATTTACTTCGATACGTAAAAAACCTATACTTTGTGAAACAAGTAAGAGGTTCTAGTCGCGGCTCCTGACTAGGGGATACCCTGAAGTCTCTTCTTCCAACACGAAATGCAGCTCGCGTTACGCGCTCATTTGCTTTAGCAGTAATACAAATAAATTAACAAAAAGAACTTCTTTCACTAGGACTCGAACTCTAGCTTTAAAATGTAATATACGTGATATATATATATATATCATATATATATATACTATACTAGAAGCTACATGTCAAGTGTGGTGATTCTAGCTCTTATAACTAACGAGATTTGCCCATAAAATATGATTTCGATATCGAGTTTTATCGATTATCGGAAACAAGCTCGTACAGCGCGGGCACTAGGAGGACCTACATTCCAAATTTTAAGTCAGACAGATGGACGGACAGACAGATGGACAGCCTGGCACTATTCGGCCGAGATATTCAAAAAAAAATCCTCAAAAAAGGTTTGATTTTCGAACCGAACCCGATTTTGATAAAAATCGTGATGTAACCCCTTGCCATTTTGGTCGATTTGGGTCAAAATTTAGATTTTCTATTTTTTGATGTCAGTCGATAGTACTGATCCTTACGAGTCCAAAATAGTATAAAATTTGAAAATCGGACACTATTTGGCCGAGATATTCAAAAAAATCATCAAAAAAGGTTTGATTTTCGAACCGAACCCGATTTTGATAAAAATCGTGATGTAACCCCTTGCCATTTTGGTCGATTTGGGTCAAAATTTAGATTTTCTATTTTTTGATGCCAGTCGATAGTACTGATCCTTACGAGTCCAAAATGGTATAAAATTTGAAAATCAGACTTTATTTGCCCGAGATATTCAAAAAAAATCATCAAAAAAGGTTTGGTTTTCGAACCGAACCCGATTTTGATAAAAATCGTGATGTAACCCCTTGCCATTTTGGTCGATTTGGGTCAAAATTTAGATTTTCTATTTTTTGATGCCAGTCGATAGTACTGATCCTTACGAGTCCAAAATTGGAGTTATGTCGTTTTCAAACGTCATATCTTCCGCGGAAAATCGGGTTCGGTTCGAAAATCAAACCTTTTTTGATGATTTTTTTGCGTATCTCGGCCAAATAGTGTCCGATTTTCAAATTTTATACCATTTTGGACTCGTAAGGATCAGTACTATCGACTGGCATCAAGAATATATGTACTTTATGGGGTCGGAGATGCTTCCTTCTGCCTGCTACATACATTTGCAAAAATACATTATACCCTCTTTACACAAATTTAATGGGTTAAGGGTTTCAACACATGTCACTGACACTAGGTCTAGTGTGTGAGTGAGTGATCATATGTTCGTATATAAAATGCGATTAATAAATTTATCTATCATCTGAATCATCTAAAGAATAATTAGCTTAATACTGGTGTATTTTTATTTTTTATTTTCAAATTTCAAGTTTTTAGTAGTTTTGTAGTTTTTGCATTCATACAGACGGACATAGCTAGGGTCACGCTGCCTGTAATATACATTTTCACAAAAGCAGTATACTCTTTTTACAAATTTTCAATGATTCAGGGTATAAAAAGGACTGATTTGTTCCGAAAAGACTAAATTCATAACACTTCAATACAATGTGTTCACTAAGACGGGGCTTTGGAGTAGAACGAAACATCAATGTTTTTATTTGATTGATCTAAAGCGAACTTCGGCTGCCCCGACTGTAGGGGCGGGGGTCATTGTGCTCGATCTGTAGATGCTGGCCAATTCTCGTAACACTTTTTCTGACCCGTATATACACGATAATGTGTTAAAAGGTTATAGGATTGTGAATGGAGTATAAAAAGCTATATAATAAAATAAATATTTATTTAGTGTTCCAAATTTCAAGTTTTAATTTTTAGCGCCTAATATTCTTCTTCTTATTCATTTTCACAATGTGGGCTTACTCAGTTTTAAAAGGTAAACGTAAGGATTGATTTATTCCAAAAATCCAGGTGCAATAATTCTGAATTGGAATACAATTTGCATAAAAACAAGACTAACCAGTAAGAGTTGTCGAATGAACATTGCGTAACATACATGCATACATTCATATTTTATTTACACACACACACAGCTGTTGTGCTTCTTCTACCCCGAGCTGGACGCAATGGGAAATTCTTTCTCGAATAAGTTTTGGCCGATATTTACAATTAGTAAGGGCTTTAGATTGGTATCGTTATGAGTACAAATTCCAAAACGCAAGGCTCCTAAAAAAATGTTTCTATTCAAAGAAGGAAATCGTGATTCCTATATTCTATACGAAACAAAAAAAAAAACAAAATGATTTCAAAAGATCGAGGCTGACAATAAATACTATCAATTTAAATTAAACAGGATGAGTCATTGACGATATTACTTGAACATAAGCTCAAAATATGAATTCCCTAGATTTTATAGTTTCTAAGTTAGACAGCTAAATACGCAGGAATGGACGGACAAACAAATAGACAGGCCGAAGCACACGGCTAGATGGACATGTACATTTTACGGACATTCTTATCTCAAACATTTTCACCATACCATTACTCTATTCACCTACTTTCATTAGATACCCTGCAGACAGCATTACATTTTCCTAATTACTTGGGTATTTTTGTAAACAGATACACACACATATGTACATTCTTGAATTCGTGCATCCCAAACGTATACGTTGCTGTTGCTCCTGCACTCATAGTAGTTGTTTAAATAAAACATTTATGGATTTTATCCGATCATAACAAAATACCAAATATATTCCGAATTTGATTGTTGGCTGGGGGTAGCTATAAAAAAGTGATAGAAACTGTTTGCTCTACAAAAAGCTACATACCTTTCACTCATTTTCAGCGGAAGAAGGGATAAAAGAAATGAATAGAATTCATAGGATAAAAATGCGCAACATTCTTGAGCATGCGCGCGATACGATGTCACCGCAGGCAGCTAATAAGGGCTTTAATTGAAGTTGCGCTCTCTTTATTTTGCTATACAGGGGACTAGAGCAAGGTAACGCCAGACAGACAAGGTGCGATAGCGCAGTAACGCGCGTGCCAATTGTATAACCATCTCTCTTGCACAGCGGCCATTGCTATAATTATAGGTTAGGGCAAATGCAGCATAAGCCAATGTTCGGATTGGTCGTTACCACCGCGTCGGCGCACAGCACGCACACAACGGGGCGTCGCCAAACGAAACCCGTTTTGAGCGCGTGCTTGCTTACTTTTATGAATGAACTGCATGAAATAAAACAAGCGGCGCCCTCTACTAGCCGGCTAGCTAATACATCATCATCAGGCACAGCACCAGCACCAGCACCAGCAACAGCAACAGCACCAGTACCAGTAATGCTCATCATAGCCCTGGCTCGCATTCGGTGGTGGCTTGGTTTATTGCTGTCTCTTTTGTGCGCTTAAAACGCAAGAGCTACGCCAATGTTAGGTGTAACTGCGTCATGATGAATGGGAATGGCTGCTGCTGTTCTCGTAGCTGCTTTGACTGCGGGAGAGCGTAGCGTCAGCAGCAAGGCTGCGGTTTGGATTGCTTGTTGGTTGCAGTCGTTGTCGCTGTCTCAGTTTGCCAGCGCACACAGCTAAAGAAGCAAAATATACAAATACAACAATTGCAAATTGCTCTCTCTCTCTCTTGTTTTGACGCGCCCTCTGCTGTAGCTGAACGACGACAACGCCTTCGCTTGACGTTGACGGAGCAGTCGCCGCCAACGACAAAACGGGAATGGGCCCAAGCTTTTTGTTTGCGCTGGCATCGCGTGAAACAGTTGCAAGCCTTTGAACGATCAGCGACGACGCTAAAAACTTTTGCGCGGATATATTTTGTTTCTCAGTGCAGACGCCTCCTTCTCGCCAACGTCGCCGCCGACGCCTGTGCAAACATCAACAACAATAACAACAGCAACAGCAACATCAACAAGAACAACAACAACAACAACAACAAGCAAATAACAACTACAAACATATACAGTTTTACAGTGCGTCATAGTCAATGTGAATAACACTTCTGTTTTTTCTGTTGTAAGTTGGCCCACGCGGTTTATTGTTTTGCTTCAGTTGAAACTATATTCTAATCGCTTCCATTTTCCTTGATCCGAAAGCTGTGAATCGACAAACAAAAGAAGTTGGCGCTTGCGCCTTAATCAATTTGGCAAATCAAATAGCGAGGTGAAGTTACAGAACCCGTGACAGTGAAAGTAGCAACAGTATTTTCGGCATAAAAATCATACAAATCCTTTTATCAGTTATATCCGCATCAGTTGCAGCAATAGTAAAATCTGCTTCTCAAGTAACAGTGAAAAGTGCATTTAAGCAGTTTGAATCCTTATAAAAGTCTTTTTTGTTGCATATTTTTTATTGTTTGCGACTAGCAAGCGTGTTTCTGTGTTTTTAATAAAAAAGTGTCTTTAGACAGCAGCCACAGCTACAGCTACAGCAACAGCAACAGCTTTAACGACACTTTTAACTGGAAGGCTTAGTAGCTACTAAGAAGCAACTTTGTTTATGTGCTTTGTTTGGAATAATCTAGTTTCCAGCCTTCAAAAACAAAAAGAGCAAATACAATTGCTGTACGCCTCAAAATTACAACGCCAACAAAAAGTACGGAAGCAACTGCAGCAGCAGAAGCTAAAATGCTAACGGACATGACACCGACCGCCGGTCAATTGTATGGCTCGCAGATTCCAGCTATGGCAGGCATGAACATTACTAACATAGCGACACATTTGCAGAAGCCGCAAGTAAATCCGGTAAGTGCCGAATTCAACCAAAAAGAAAGCTATAAGTTCCTATTTGAGGCGTAGTAGTTTTTATCTAAGCGCCCTAAGTATTGACGAGCTCCTTGGCCACCATATTTATCAATATTGTACTCGTTCGATCACAAAATATTCCTTCGCTTCTTAAGGGGCGAACTCCAATGATCATTATCGAAGCAAATTCATTATTGGATATTACTTTTTGATCAAATTTAAGCTATCGCGCAGAAAAATAAAAATGATACCTTATCAAAATTTGAATGTATGTCCATGGTGTAATATCATCTATAGAACGATCTGGCGATAGCAGCAGATAAAAACTCTTATAACTCGAGGAAAATATAAAATAATCGAAAAATTGTATATGAAACTTATTGTTTTTTATCCGAGCGACTTCAAGTTTATTTTGAAATGTGCATTTAACATATTATTTAGGGCGCGGAGCTTAAGAAATTATGGGTAGATTTAAGTGTCCCAAGTACGAAAAATAGTTGGAATAGCGATTATATTTGGTACGAAACTAACAAGGACTGTTGTTATCTAATCAAATGAACGTAGGCTAAAATAGCAATGCCATACGCTCAGATCGAAAAAATTGCAAAAGATCTTAATAGAATAGGCTAATGTGAAAAATGTGATGTAATAAAATGCAATGTAAAGCAAATTGTCAGATTCAGAAATATATGTATTCAATTTCGTACGTATATAATTTGCATACACGTATGCAACAACAAATACCTTTTCCTAATACCTGGAATTGGGGAAGATATATCAAACAACGATTTTTTATAGTATTTCAGAGCCATGTATGTATTTACTTTTAAGTTTTTATAGTTCCTTTTGTTTATTATGGAACATTTGTCAAATATTTAAGTATCGCGTACGCTTAGATACATGTCATATGAAACAATGTGTACACTTTTGTATTGGTGTATTAATATTCACATTGTCAGGCCAGTATGTGACAAATCAACCACTTACACGGCAGTAGGCTTAACAATAACAAACCAACATATTTCAACCATCCCGTATCGACATCAGCAACAAAGCTAATGCATTGAAACAAACAACGTTAAGCGCCATGCCAAATCACGGCAGAATTTAGAGTTCCAGGTACAGGAACAATCCCAGTGCCAGGCACAAACCCATGCACAGGAAAATTCAGTCACCCATGATTGGCATGGGTTTCTTTGTTGTCTGCGATCAACGTGACTCCACGATTAAACGGAAAATATCTAATGCTGCTGCTGAATCTGAGTAAAAGTCAATTCCTGAATTGATTAGATGCGGCTTGTTCAACGCGTCGCGGTCTGTGTGCAAACGCATTTCACGCTACGGCTTTGTCGATATTCACTTCACAGATACAAAAACAGGTAGAAGATATATACCAATTGTGTGCGCTCTCAGGTATCGGATGCTTCCGAATTCAAATATTCCGACTCAATTGGGATACTTTAGGTGTAAATCTAACAATGATATGATTTGCATCTCTACCCATTGATGGCTACGCAGCCTTAATGTTTGTAGATCTAAGATACCGGCTAAGACTATGCAGTCGAATATTGGGCAATTGGATCAGAAATACATCGGAAAATGCCACGTATTTTATCTTAGATTCTAGATTTTAATCTAATATAATAATAATAATTCAGCTCTAATATGATGTTTTGTATACCCTGATCCAAAACGTAATAAAAAAATACCTTGATCGCGCTGCTCTCTACACAGAATTCTAAACTTAGGCAATGTCACAGAAAAAAACAGATGCCCAATAGAACGAAATAAAATTCAATAATACTAATTATGATGACAAGAAAATATAAACACACACAGGTATATTTATAACTAATATATATATAAAATTTGAATAATCGAATTTTTTCATTAGTTCATGTATTAGTTATTTATTTGTTATTTGTTAATACCCTACATTTTTTGAAAGTTCAGTGTGGAAATATATATTAATAACCACATTCTAGGGTTTATAAGAGCTAAAATCTCAAAATTTAGCGGTTAACGTACAAAACTCAATTAAAATTTGTTTATTTTTTGCGTGTTGTTGTATAGGCAATCTTTTGATGCCATCTTTATGTCCTGAAATTAAAAGTTACTTAAAATGCCCTTAGCTCTAATATTATATCAGATCGACGCGTTCATACAGACAGACAGACATTCTTGGGCAGATCAACGCCGCAGTTGATACTAACCGACAATGTGTGTATTTTTAAGAATCGGAAACATTATCTTTTGCCTGTTTCAAGCATTCGTGCAAGGTTTATCCACTTTTTTTTATTAAAGCACCCACGTAATATATATAAACCAACATCAACATTTTTACTCTATGTATATATTTGCATTTTTTGTGAAAACAAGAAGAGGTTTATCTCTTTTAGTAGAAATAGTGCGTGTTATTGATGATTTGAATTAAACTTTAGCTGTGCATGCAACAGGAGGACATAGGGTCCAAATTCGAATTATCTAGCTTTGATTTTCTGGGGCCAATGTGATCGGTAGTAATTGGGACAAACAGACAGGCAGACAGATATGAATTTAGAAACAGCGCTGCTGATGCTGACTAGAAATGTCGGGGGACTCTGGGGCGTCTCCTATGTCGTTGTTGGAGGAGGTCCTTGAACGATCTTCTCTTGAGCCTCCTGACTAAACAACTCCTAGCGAAGTCTTTTGCTGCCCCTTTGAGGTCTCTGTGCAAGGTAGAATTTCTGACGTACCAGTCAGCACCGGTTATTCGGTGCAAGACCAAGTTTTGGAGTGTCTGAATCCGTCTTCGATTTGTCCGAGATGCAATGGATACCGTATCTCCAAGTTGGCGCCACCACGGCGTCGTAAGCTGTCCGCTTGTAGCGAAGTGGCAATGGGCTGTTGGGGTTTAGTAGCCAGTTGGCCTTGGCCATCTTATAGCGGCACTGCTTAAGAAGGCTGTCGATGTGCGCCCGAAAGCTAAGCCTCTGCGTGTAGTTGACCACCTGGCATTTCGAGGCATTGAGCTTGATGTTCCACCTGCGTGCCCAGCTCTCAGGCAAAGTGGATGTCAGTGGCTTCGTACTCGCAGTGGTTTTGTGCGTTAAATTTTGGATGTGACTTTTTCACGTATTTCCCGCCCTTAAACAATTTAAATCTGTCCGTACTATTTCGAGCTACACGTGTAATGTTATATTTTTCCGTAGATATTTGAAAACAGGTTTGAAATCCATCAAATAAAGAATCATGTTAGCCTTGTGGTGAGAATCTTGTAGTCGTTCATCAGACCTTTCACCTAAATTTGCCAAAACGCATCAAATAAATGTTCACAAACGTCTTTGAGTTTTCCGACAAATTTCCACAGCTGTTAGCGGAAAGTTTCAAAATCACTGAAAAATCGGAAAATCTTTAGCTGCTCCTAAAAAATTTTTAATCGCATTTTCCAACGAGGAAGCTTGGATTCTGCGAAAAGTATGAAACACATCACAATTAAATTTTCATAAAGATCCGTTTAAATAAATCTGAGCCCAAGACTTCACCCACCAAGTTTTGACCTCTGTTTTCACCAAGAAGGAAATAATTTATACCATACCTCAAATGAATTTGAGCAAAGGTCTTTGAAAATGAGATTGAAGTTAAACAAAATAATTTCTTTCAACCGTTTGTCGCGAATTTTCCAAAACGACAGTAAAATGTCAGCTTCCCAACTCTAACACGCATCGCGCTGATCACCAATCTGTCATCAGTCTGGACAATCAGTTTTAAATAGAGACTGCCGCCTGCAGTTGTTATTCAAATTAATGAAATTTTAGCTTGCATGGCGTGGCCAATTGCATAACACTTTTAATAGACTTGGCAACGTCAATAATGCCCTCAAAGCATCCGGCCAAATAGGCATAAAAATGTTGAGAACTTGGCTTCGTTCCCGTGCCACCACTACTTATGACGCAACCAACAAGTACCTTCTAAAAGGCCTGGCTTGATAATGCCACAAGCACAAAGTGTAAACGCCACGAGACTACGTGCGTCATACAATGTAAAACCGCAGAACAAAATGTTCTTTGCGGGCCTAGAACTGGAGCCAAAGTCATAGTTAGTTTCTTTGTATCGAGCTGGGCCCGATAAGTATTTTGATGGAGCGGGTAGGCGCTTATTAAAATTAATACCACATCAATCATTTTACAAACGTGCTGTCGGCCAAGTTCAAAGCCGCCTCTGTATACTGAGCGGCTAGACTCAAGTTTCTACTTCGGCTTCGCTATCCGTAGAGAACGCTTTAATCTTAGGCTCTGTTTAAGAAAGTTACACATGCGCATTGATTTTAATTAAAGGCGTTTAAAGACGCGACGCGAAAACAAAAAATGAAAAATAAAAGAAGAAATGTTTTCAAAATGATAAATTACCAAGACAAACTGAAATTAACATTTATGCTTGAAACAAAGCACAACATATGTTTCAAGCTGCCAGATAGTCGAACATTCAGACCGTCAGACAGCAAAGGCAGCGGTAAAACGGTACGCGTCCGAGTTTCGGCTGTTAAATTATTGAAAATCATGCAATGCTGTTGCTGTTTTTCCCATGAACATCTCTTCGACTTGACTTGAAACATTCTCTGGGCCTGGGCATGGGCCTGGGCCTGTTTATTCAGCACTGTCTGTCGGCATAATCAGCATAACAAAAGAAATTAAGCAATAATATATTAATGAAAATACAAATGCACATTGAGGTCTGTGCGGTAAGCTGAGAGCCAGCTGGAGTAAGATCGCCGCGTCATTGACTAATTTGTTGTGTTTTCAACACGGTTAGGCGCCAGGGCGTCGCTCATTGGAGGGCATCGGTAGCCCTGACTGCCCTTAACAGCAGGCGCCGTCACCAGATACCCAGTAGTTTTCATCGAACGGTCTATCCCTTACACAGCAAGAAATTATAGGAATACAAGTACTAAGCCATGCAAATTATGTCGAAGATTATATGTTTTGTGTATACCCTTTCGTTGAAAGAGACATCCAGATTCC